CAATTTTTCTTTCCATTGTTTTGTAGTTTTTCACATATACATTTTGTTATTTTGTTAATTCCTAAGAACTTTATTCTTCTTGGTTTTATTTTGAATGTAAATGTTTTCTTTCATTTTCTAATTGTTCATTGCTAATGTTTGGAAATACAATTGGTATTTTGTGTATTGAACTTGTATCTGGTGCACTTGGTAAACCTGCTTATCAGGTCTAGTTTTGGTTTGTGTGCATATGGATTCCATGGAAATTTCTACATACAGGATCGGGTCATCTGTACTTAAAGACTATTCTACCTTTTGTTTTCCAAACTGCTGGAAAGCTTTAATTTTGTTTTTCTCCTGTTGCACTTTCTAGAACCTCCAATAAAATGTTGAATTGAAGTGGCAAGAGCATACATCCTTGTCTTGTTCCTAGTCTTTAGGGTAAAATATTCAATCTTTCAGCATTGAGTATGGGACAGCTGTGGGTTTTCACATATGCCCTTTATGAGGCTGAGGAAGTTCTGTTTTATTCCTAGTGTGTTGAAAGTATAATGAATGATCATTAGATTTTACAAATGCTTTTTATGCAGCTGTTGAGGTAATCAGGTGATTTTTGTTCTGTATTAAATTAATATGGTATATTACATTAAATTTTTTATGTTAAATAAACTTTACATCTGGGATAAATCCCACTTGGTCATATTATATAATCTAGTATGCATTTTTGTGCTTTTGAGTTGCTAACACTTTTGGAGGATATTTACCTACCTAATCATCTATAGTTTTCTTATTATATCTTTGGCTTTGATAGCAGAGTAATACTAGCCTCATAGAATGCTTTGGGAAGTGTTCCCAACTCCTCTGTTTTATGAATGAATCCTTCCTGTGAAGGATCAACATTATTCCTTCCTTAAATGTTTGATAAGTTCTCCAATGAAACCATTGTTGAGGTCAGGAATTTTCTTCGTGGGAAGATTTTCAATTACTAATTAAATTTCTTGTTTTTTTTTAAAGATTTTATTTATTTATTTTTAGAGAGGGAAGGGAGGCGGGGCGGGGAGAGAGAGAGAGAGAGAGGGGGGGAGAGAGGGAGAGAGAGGGAGAGAGAGAGAGAGAGAGAGAGAGAGAGAGAGAGAGAGAGAAACATCAATGTGTGGTTGCTGGGGGTTATGGCCTGCAACCCAGGAATGTACCCTGGCTGGGAATCGAACCTGGGACACTTTGGTTCCCAGCCTGCGCTCAATCCACTGAGCTACGCCAGCCAGGGCTAAATTTCTTGTTTTATATATAGGTATATTTAGTTTATTTATTTGTGAGTCCATTTTGGTAATTGTGTCATTCTAAGAATTCATCAACTTCGTGTAAAATACCTGGTTTGTTGATATAAATTATTTATAATATTCTCTTTAATCCTTTTTCGTTTCCATAGGATTGGTGGTAATGTTTTTTCTTGATTTTGGTAGTTTGTGATTTAATTTCTTCTTGGTAATTCTAGCTTGAGGTTTGTCAAATTCATTTATATTTTCAAAGAACTGAATTGTTTTCCTAGATTTTTCTGTCTTGTATTTTACTTTTTCATTTTAATTATTTCCATTCCCATTTTTTATTATTTCAGTTATCCTTCTTGGGTTGAGTTTAGCTTGCCCTTCTTTTTCATCATTGATTTTAAATATTTCTTTTCTCATAGAGGCATTTAAAGACATAGATTTCCCCTAAGGGATTGCTTTAGCAATATCTTACAAATTTTGATGCATTGCATTTCATGCATTGTGTGGTTTTCAGCTGGTTGGCTATAAAATATATTGTAACAACTGCACGTGGATCTCTTTGTATATATCCTAATCAGTATTTGTTTAGCTTATTAAATATATAGAGAACATTTCTCAACAAATTTGAGGAGTTCAGGGCATAATTTCTTCAAATATTTTCCTGATTCTTTTCCTCCTATCAGGGAGTTCCAGTACATGTATGTTGGTATGCTTGATGTTATCTCATAGCTGTCTGATCTCTGTTCAGTTTTTCTTCAGTTTTTTTTTTGTTTGTTTTGTTATTTAGATTGGGTGACTTCTATTGCTCTATCATCAAGTTCACAGATTCTGTCTATTGTCAACTTGAGTATTCTCTCAGCCTCTCTCTAGTGAATATTTCACTTTAGTTACTATACACTTCTACTCCAGATTTCATTTTTTATCTGATCATTTTGTAATTCTGTCTCCTTGATGATTTATAATCTCTATTTATTGATTTATGGTTGTGAGGATTTGTACTTTCTTTTAATTCTTTAACCATGGTTTTCTATAGTTATTTGAATATGTGTATGTATAAATTCCCATTTCTATGTAGAAATATATCATATTTGCAATAGCTGCTTTGATGTCATGCTAAATAAAAAGTCTGCACATACTTGGAGATAGTTTGTATTGAGTTGTGGTTTTTTAATTTTTTTCTTCCGAGAAAAGTCACATTTATTATTTGCTTGTCTTGTAATTTTTTTGAAAAGTATGTTGTTGAAAATATATTGTGTCAACTGTAGATTCTAATTTCTACCCAAAAGGTTATAATTGTTAATATCTGTTTGCTTAGAAAATTGCCTGGGCTAAATTTGTGAAATTAAGTTCCCTGTGGTGTATGGCCTCTGATGTGTCTTAGTTTTTTATTTTCTTTTTAATGCTTTTATTTTTAAGCATAGCTTTATGGGTTCATGCCTTTGTTTGTCTACATAGCTTAGCCATAGACAGTGATTGGACAGAGATTGTGATCAAGCATCTTAATTAAGTCTTCCATCTTCTGCCAAACAGATATGGGTAGCACATTCAAATTTCAGGCTATTTTAAGTCTTTCCCAGCTGATACTTTCTTCTATGTGTTCTCATGGCCCTTCTGTACATGCTCACAGCCTCAGGGTTGACCAGGAGTGTTTGGCTCCCTGGGGCTCTTTTAGGTCCACTCTGCTCACACACAACTTCAGCCAAGCATATACTCCTTGCAGCCATGACCTCAACCTCAAACCAGGAGACACTCTGTCCCTTCCTGCTCACACATAGCTGATTTTGTCAGTTCACCATTGCATCAATCCCCACCCCAAATTATGTGAGGTCCCTTCAACTGTGTAATTTTGCTGCCAGTTCTCACGTTCCGCCCTACCCCGGAAGACCCTTCATGCCCACCAAACAAGGTATTGGGAGGAACTGGAGCATCTCCAGGTAGGAATACCACTGTTGATCCCAGAATTCTGCTGCTTTCTCAGCATCCACACTTCTCAGGTTCTTGTACAACTTTGGTCACTTTCTGAGTGCTGAAGTAGTTAGTCTTGTTCATCTAGTCCTGTTTTAAAGTTGTTTTTCAAGGAGATTTATTGACTCCTCACCTTACTGTAACCCAAAGTCCTTTGTAGCATTCACCTTGAAATTATGAAAAGCACAGGTGTTATCATTTTAACTGAAAGTTTGTCTTTATAGGATTCCCAAATAGTTCCAGTATGCGTCAGTTTGTGGCTCAAATGCCGTTAGCCTGACAGGTGGAAAGTGAGCGCAGATCCAGGAAGTTGGTGTGACCATCTTCCTCAGACTCCTGTCAGCATGAGAAGAAGGCCATTAAACCAGCCCATTGTCCATATGCTTTATAGCAGCTCAATAGGCTGGAAAGTGAGACCTTTGTCTATTTATTTTATCACAACCTCAACCTTAACTCTGACATTTATGAAGTTAATACGTGGGACACAATCTTTTCTTAAGACTCTTGACCTTTCATTCTCCTGTAGCAGACTTATGTTTGCTGCAATCCAGGCAGACATTCTCAGAAGAAAAGTGCATTATCTGAGAAGAGGCCAGTGGCAGTGTGAGGCAGGCTGCATTCATGAGGGAATAGGTTATATCCTTAACTACTACTATTGTCTTTTCACTGCTCCTTTTGTTTTTCTTGTGCCTGATTACAAGTCTAATGTATGCTTTTTATAAAAATGTGTGAAGAACAAAATAAAAGATTATGGTTCTTCAAGCTGTTCAGTAACATTACTGTTGACTGTTTCCTTCTAGTTTTGTGTTTGTAATTTATGTAATAGTGGCCACACTGCCTATATTTTATATCCTGTTTCAAAAATTATAATGTTAGCTTAGGGTTATTGTAGAACTTTGGAAATCCAGAAATGTATGGAAGTCACTTATACGACTTGTATGTAAGTCACAAGTATGATTGGTTGCTTCTGGTCTTTACAATTTGCACACATATATTTAGTTTTATTTTTATCAAATATAAAGTTTTTCATTACATATTTGTTTTTATATTATATATTATACATATTCCATGTTGTAGCCTATATGAATATAATTTTAAATTGATGCATACGTACTTCATGGAAATGTAATAATTCTTAACCTCTGCTCTCAGACTTGGAATTTCTTTTTACTTTTAGAGGGAAATGTACATAATAGAAAACAAATAGTGTTTCTTTGGAGTTATAACTTAAGGAAATAATTCAAGTGTAGAACGATTGGGTCAAATGCACAACTAATATGAGGCTCACTAGACATTGACCCAGAATGGTTATAACAATGATCACTGGCAGCAGCACATGGCAGTGACCACCTGGCATCACTCTTGGCATTAGGAAGACCTCACTGCTTTCTCATAGGGACAGAGTTTTTTTTTTTTAATTATGTAGAATTAGTTATTTATACCCAAGTTCCAAGTTATTTGCACTTGAAAAACACATGCAGGTTTGTCAGCAAGGAGGTGGAACATAAGTAGCCTGGATAGTAATTCTTGCTTTGTATGAATATTTTAATAGAACATAAGTAAAGTTCTCTTTGACAGATTAGTGGAAGTGATATTCTATTTTACAGGTTTTCCTCCTAAAGAAATAATGTAAAACTTTATTTTACAGTTACTGTTTTATTCAGCTAAATCTTTTGAGGGTTAAACATATATCTGCCCTTTAAAATATTATGCATATATATTGTATTTTTAAAGAAATCATTTGTTACTTTATTGGAAAGCAATACTCCTTTCCTTTTTTCCACATAGGATCTGAAGAAGCTGAAGAAAAGCAGGACACTGAAAAACCACTATTAGAGCTATGAGTACTACTTTTGTTAAAGTAAGTCTTCAAAAATGAAACTGTAGCAACAAAGTGCTGAAATAGGAAGCATTTCTTCCAGTGGATTCAGGGTAAAATTAAAAGAATATGAGTCTGTATGTGTGACCAGGTTAGTCCTATTTATGTGAATTTGTCAGTCACATTTTGATTTCTGTATGGGAATAAATTGGTGAAGTATGAAAAATAGCTCCTAGTCCAAAATTTCTCAATATGATGTATTCATTTTTGCTTACTTAGCCAGGTCTCCATGTCAGACATTGTTTACATACAAACCCTTTATGTGTGCTGTGACGGTAGCAGTCCTGTGAGGTGTGGTCATGGTATTGTCTGCATTTACATTTGAGGCAGGTGAGACTTGGGAAGGAAGAGTAACTTGTTCAAGGTCACATAGCTAGGAAGTGACAGAGCCAGGATGCAGGCCCTCCCGTCTGGTACCAGTATTCGCTCTGATCCTGTACCAGAATGTCTCTAAGGTTGCTGCAGTTTCTGAGATGAGAGATGTGATCCAGTCACTCAAAGCAGTAGAATTTGATGTGCCTCAAGGTGGGGGCACATTGTTAAATCCCATCAAATGGTCAAAGGAAGACATTTCAACCTCAGAAATACAAGAAGATAAACATAAATTGTGGTAGTAGTGACTCTGCTTAATTATTTAAACATAGAAGGGAAAGGAGAATAGAACTTAAATGTTCTCATCACAAGAAATAGAACAATTTTATAACTATGTATGGTGATAGATGTTAACTAGACTTTGTGGTGACCATTTTGTAATATATACAAACATTGAATTATTATGTTGTATACTTGAAACTAATATAATGTTAAATGTCAGTTATATCTGAACAAAAGAATAATAAAATATCAACAAAAAGGAAAAGTTTTAGACAGATTCAGTGTAATTGTTCCCAGTTGTAGGGGCAGTGTAGAAGCCGTGTAGAGGCAGATGGGCTGGCAGAGACAGCTGAGTCCTGGCGAGTGGGGGCCCTGGCCCTGTACTTGCATCAGCAACACGCAACACTCTTTGTTCCCTTCTTTCCCCAACAATGTTGAGACAAAGGAAAAATGTGGGCATGTGAAGAGTTGATATTTTCTAAAATTCTCTGAAACAAATTCTTGTGTCCACCCTAAATATCTTTAACTGTCTGTAACACAGCCCATCCAGGTACACAGACTTCACTATAAAAACATAAGGCAATGCATATTTATTTCTGTTTCTTTTGTTTAAAATCTTTCATCTGTTTGGTCTTCTATTTGGCATTAAGATACATCCCATAAAGTTTTGAACTGTTAAAAAAACATAAGGCAAAGTGTAGCATTTCTCCCTGTAAAACTACTTCTCAAATACTTTTGTGTTCTCTTTTTCAAAGTGTGAAAAACTCTGAGTGAAAATGACTGGAGGGCACAAAGGACTGGAGATGGGGTCTCCCTATGGAAAGCTGAAGTGGTGACATCCACTGCTGATTTGATTGATGGTGAATAAAGAACCCATTTGTTGTAATACCTCACAGACACTGTACCATATTCACATGTACTTAGTAACCTGCCTGTGGCAGGTGAGATAACGTAATGATTCATCCCATGTGCAGTGGGACTGAGTCTGATCTGTAATGAATAGTTGCCAAAAGGTCTTATGCTGTATTCCTAATCAACAGACTCCTTAATATATTATAGTAACACATTTTTAGTAAGCAATATAACTTTTATTTGAATTCACAGAATGGAATTGTTTTGTTTCATGTCTCAGATTTTTTTTTTTGTATTTCTTTTTTAACATCCTACATTTCCTTTGTGTTTTTTTTTAACTCATGCATATGTGCTCTTTGTACAACTTTAAAATGTAATAAAATCCCACATATCAAAATTGCCTGTTTTGTTTTTCTTGTTTTGCATTATGAATTTGTCCAAAAGTGTTGTAATTACCACAGGGGAACAAGGTGGGGTTATAGATACATATAAAAAGAAACCAGACATTGTGTATCTTTCTCTTAGCAGACTGGTTCTGAAGTAGTCTGAGGCATCTTATGTGAAATACACTATGAAACCATTGCCATCATTTTCCCTTTGTGTTTAGCTAATTTGAATTGAAGTAAACTAAATTGTATTGTGAGCTAATTTTAAAATGTGAAGTATTACCTTAATGCCTGATCAGAAGGCAGTGTGCCTATTTGCTTTCTTCTATTCACGTATCATTTAAGAAAAACACAATTGTGTGTTATGGTAATGGTACCGGTTTGGGTGGAAACTGGCTATTTGTGCAGATCAAATCAACTCCATATGTGCTTGTTCTAAGAAAGGGCCAAATGACAGAAATGCCACAGAGAGGCAACAGCCTAACCAGGAATAACTTCCTATGGTGGCGAAAGGGTGATGGAAATCTCCAGGGTCTGGCCTTGGTACTAAAACCCCAGGAACTAAATGGTATTTTCATAGTGAGCATGCTTTATCTCAGGAATGGACTGACATACACACCAAGTGTTCAGATGATGCCCAAGCTGGGTGTCATTGTATTAATTTAACCTGAGAAAGATCTCTCACTGAAACACGCTGGCTGAACCAGGAGGATACAGCCAAGTGTCATAAAAAGCCAAGGGTTCCCAGTAGTTGCACAGATGAAGAAGAATGAAGTATGTGATGTGCATGTGTCATGAAGTCAGACTATGAAAGCCCGAAGTGTTGATCTGCACAATAGAGCTAGTCTTCCCCCAGGACTGCACAGATTGAGTCCAGGGCCTAGTCACCCACTCTGTATTATGCCGGGGTCGGGTATGGGAGGGAGTATTTGGCCTCTATGTTCACATTGCTGAATAGCCCTCTTCTACTTCACCCCAATCACACTTTTATCTGATGTTCATATCTTCTATTAAGCTTTGCTCAGGTTGACATTCCATGGAAAAGCAGAGATATTTGGTGTCCAGGATAATGTTCAGGAGTAGCTTAGTGCTGTCTGCTCTTTCCTCCCAACAGGTTCATATTGGACTGACTGCAGCATCTAAACAGCCCTGGGCATGAGATTTCCACCTCACATAGTAGCTAACTGAAGTCACGTATATAAAAAATGGGGATCCCCTATCCACTCCTAAAACCATGTCTGATAACTGCCTGCATGTGTATGCAGATGGATATTTTCTTTACCTTATCTGTGGCCTCTTGAAAGTGAGCAAAGTTAGTTGTGGTTTAACTGCCCTTTTTTATCTTATAACACCTACGCCACTGCTTGCATAGACCCAACAAGTAGGGGCTGGTTTGACATTGAGCATTTTCCACGAATTAACCACATTTGCCAGAGCACGTCAACAAAGAAGCCTGAGAAACTAAATCACCATCAGCCGCAGCAGCTCCCTCCCACCAGCCACACTGTGGCCTCCACCACCTTTGCTCTCCCTCCCTTACTGCCTGTTTCAGGGCAGCCCTGGTTGAGCTGAGGAAGGAAGTTACTAAGAAGTTTGGTGGGACAGGAAATACTGCCTTGTAGTGCTCAACTGTGAAATTGGCTGCCCAAAGTGTTCAGTGGTTTTCAAGTGTCCTCTACCTTTCCCAACACACTAGTTTCATCTAAGTAAGAGGTTTTCAACCTTTTTCATCTTATGGCACACATAAACTTCAAATTCAATGGTATTCTAAAAATGTAATTTTACTGATCTGACAAAAAATAGGTAAATTTTGATTTACAAAAGAATAATGGTAGTAATTGCCTACTCTTTTTGCTTGAAGTGACTTAGATGAAGATTTCTGGTACCACAACTTAACGAATCAGATACAACCTTACTGTGTGATGTGAACAATGTGAAGCAAGTCTGTTATATGACCTATATAGTTATGGTTCAAGACAGAGCATTCACTTTAGAGGGCTATAGTTTTGTTGGCTGTTGTCTTGTTTTCTTTTTGACAATCCGAGGGAAAGAGCTCAGTGCCCCTAACTAAACAGTCAGGTATTGCATGTTTTAAAAATTCCTGTGGCACACCACTTGAAAATCTTTGCTTTATGTAGAGGACCAAGCATTTGGCCTAAAGGGGTCTTGATCAAATTAATGAGAGTTAAGGAGTAGATCTAAGTAAATTTAATCTTCCTTGTGTCAGGTCTTATTTTGATTTTGAATGAGAACCTTTACTGGGTTTCCAAAAGAACCTATTTCACAGAACCTGAAGCTGATTGTAATGAAACAAATTCTTTCCCATTTTAAATCAGACATTGTTTTAATTCTAATGTATAAATTTTTACTTTTAAAGGATTCATTAGAGTAAATAAAAATGTATACAATCTCTTTTTTTACCCACCTATCATACATTGAACATTTTGTTTTATGTCTTTGCCCATAAACATGCACAGACACATATATTGTTAGTATTGTTAATAGAAAGTGGTCAAAGGGTATGAACAAATAGTTGACAGAAGAAGAAATATAGACAGACTTTAATATATGAAAAGAGCTTATCCTCACTTATAAAAGAAAAGCAAAGTAAAACCATGATGAGGCTATTTTTCTCCTGTCGTATTTATCAAGCCCTGACATTTGACAGCACACTCTGGGCATTCACCTACATTGTGGTAGAAATGACCTATGCATGTGTTCAAAATGACATGAGCACTGTTACTTAATTCAACATTTTTTATAATAGCACAGGGTTGGAATAAGTCAATAATTTATCATTAAGAATTGGTTTTATCAAGTATTGTACATTCACCAGTGAAATATGCAGCTAAGTGTTCTTATATACTGACATAGAGCTCTAAGATGAGTAAGTAAAAAGAGTAGTACAGAATAATGTATACTACATACTACATTTGTGTACTAAGGGAAGAAATTTAGACACATGCATATGTATTTATATGTGTACAAGCTCCATCCGGAAAAAATTCAACCACTGCTAATATAAGGAGAATGATTTACGCAAAACTGATGTAACCTTGCAGCCAAGGAGAGTGGACTGGAATTCACATGAATGAACAATGATGACTTCACAGTATTAATCAGTGGGGGCAGTAGACGTTGTTCAGTAAGCATTTGTGCTGTGTGTTCATCACATTCAAAACAACTGAGTGAGTAGAGCAACAAATTTGCATCAAATTTTGTGTTAAGCTTGAACATTCCTCCATGGAAACTATTCAGATGATTCAGAAGGTCTCAGCACTGTGCAACTGGTGATTGGCAGCTTCATCATGACAACGTGCCCGCTCATGCATCACATCTTGTGCAGAGTTTTTGGTAAAACATCAAATCACCCAGGTAACTCAGCTCACTTACAGCCCAGATTGGGCACCCTCAGTCTTATGGCTTTTTCCAAAACTAAAATCACCTTTGAAAGGGAAGAGATTTCTGACTGTCAATGACATTCAAGAAAATATGACAGGGCAGTTGATGGCAATTTGGAGAACTGTGTGAGGTCCCAAGTTGCCTGCTTTACATCGTTGTCCTATGTGCCATGTTTCTTGTATCTTCTTCAATGTCTCTTTTTCATATTACATGGATGGATACTTTCTGGACAGCCCTCGTGCATTCATACCTGCATAATAAAAACTAAAAGGATGCCCACGAACCAAAACTGTGACCTGTAAGAGGTTGGGGAGGTAGAGACAGGTTGAAGCAAGATTTCTTAGTGCATTTTTAGTGTTTTGTTTTTGGAGCCATGTGCAGGTATTATCTATCAATTTTAATAGGGTTCTTCTATGCACATTACTTTTATCAACACTTCCTGATTGACACTTCATTTCTTTAATCTGCATGTTTTGAAGATGCATAGTAATCTGTCATATGACATTCTTTTGTTTATTGTTTTAGTTTTTTATGGGGCATCTGGGTTAATTTGGGGCTGCTATAAGTAGCGCTAATAGTGAATGAACATCTTCACACCTAAGTCTTAGTCCATGCCATCTGTTTCCTTATGAAATTGATTGGCCAATGGTTAGAACACTTTCCAGGATGCAGCATCTTCTCCTGTGGGATGGGCCCTGTGATGGCTCCTAGCTGCCTGAGAGCAGAGACAGTGGCACCAGAGCTCAGGAGCTTTCAGTCATTTAATGACCTTAAGCCTGACTACATATTAGAATTATTGAAGGAGGCTGTTTAAAGTCCAATGCCTGGTCTATGAAGAAGTCTGGGCCTGAGTGGTTTTTAAAGGTTCCAGGAAGAGAGCCATTGGTACAATGGGTAAAACAGCAGAGTTGAAGTCAGATGGCCCTGGAATCATGTGGACCCTGGCACTACCCTGTGATTGGCCTCAGGCATATTTTTTAGCCTCTGGTCTTCCCATCAGCTAAAGGAGCATGACACCTGCACTGTGATACAGTGAGAGCATTGGACACAGAGCGTGCAAACTGCCTGGCAGCATTCCTGGTGCTCACTATGTTGCAGGTACTGGCTGTTGTTTAAATAAAACAAAAGAAAGCAAATGAGCACAGCCTAAGAGCCTGACAGAGACCATGCGCTTACCCAAGTGAGTTTTTATGGCTCTGAAAGTGTTGGGTTTATAGGTATTTGGCTGAACTGTATCATGTTGATATCGTATCTCTGGCTATCTGATATTACTCAGAATTTCTAATTAGCAATTATACAGGACTTTGAGTAAAGGGAAAATGGAATATTACTTAACTGTAACCTCCTTGACTGACATAAAGCCCTCAAAATATTTACGAGTTTATGAAGAAAAGAATCCTAAAACAGTGGGGAGAATTCATAATGGGAAAAATTTGAGAATGGTTTCCTTGAATTTTGCCTTTTTTATGGTTGAGAAGTGTGTGGAGTATGCTAGCTCTATAAAGTCTAGAGACATAGTATTTTTGTATGGAATTGTATATATCTTTGACCAGCTGTTCCTTTGCACACCTGTGGATGCAGCCTATTGTTCTGGTATTTCTCTTATCCA